ATCGAGCGAGATGTTAACTGCGTTGTGCACACGAAAGTACTTGTAGTGCTTACCACTTCGAAGCCAGGATGCGTCCGACTCCTTCCTAAAGGGTCAAAGAGGATCAGCAAACCGACGACCAGGGTTATATGTGCAAGAAGCCGTCTTATGACCTACTTACTAAGTCCCCCCAACTCTGCACCATCTATACAAAGTCCCCTGATCTCGCGACAAGGAGAGCCACAGCCGGCTCGCAAGCGAGCGCGAAGCCCTGGGCCGCGACTTCGACGGCTTCCGAGCTGAGGCTGCGGAGAAGCTTCGGGTACGTGAGGAGGAGCCGGCAATGTTGTGTGGGCCAGGTTCGAGGGTTTCGTGGCTTAGCAGCACCCAAGGACGAGGATGGAGTGAAATGTATGTTCAGGCGGGCTTGGATTTTTGGCGGTGTTGAGGCGAGAATCCGGAATTGCGGGAAGAGACAGACTCAGCGGCGAACACATGATTTCAGAAGTAAAATTCAGTGTGCAACTTTGAACAGTGCAACACAGCAGCACCCATTGCTGTGACCCGTGCCGAAGCAGAGTGCAGGAGTTGGCCAAGCAGCTGAAGGAGAGGGAGACTGAGCAGCCGCTTTGCTGAGCAGGAGATTGTCGTTTTGCGTGCTACAGCACCACAAGAACAGCATTTGCTGTGATGGGGCATGGTATTCTGCCCGGAAGTGCAGTCTACCTGGAAGTCTTTGCTATCAGCATCTCCCAAACTTCAGAGTCCGACATAAGCCATAAATCAGCCAGATGGAAGAACTAACCACCACATGATCCTGACACCACCTGAAAACCTGCAGCCCCAGAGCTGAATCCATGCAGCCTTTTCGACAAATCCTTTGACCTGGACTCTAGCCAGAGCACCTAGGCCATGAACCCACACCAAACCCAGTGCAAGCCTGAAAGGCCTAGGACCTGCATTGACTTACCCTTCTGACTTCGTCAGGTCTGCTCAGGCCACGGACTTTGCTGCCCAGCAGGCGAAGCTTGAGCAGCAGCTTGGCAATTTAGGACGTTGGGGTCTGCAGGGCTACTAGACCAGGACCCTTTCAAGGCATCCGCAATGGAGGGACTTGCGACATTCATAGGCAGGCATTCAGCAATTGGGGCTTTATGGATTCGTCCTGGGTATTGGCTATTGCATGCTGGATGCAAACAGAGGTGATTCTGTGGATTGGGGGACGTTAGGACCAAGCGGTTACCTGCATCGGACCTGAATCGTGCGCCCTGCTTGCTATGTCCTCGGATCAGTTCAGGATTGACTCATGGATGTAGCTGAAAGTGC